AAAAAAAATGGATTCTTTTCCCTTTAGGTTTTTGCAGGTAAATGCCTGGGTGGGACAAAAATATGGGACCGTCAGTCTCGAGGCTATAAGAATTCCAGAGAGGAGCACATGTTGGATTCAATCACATATTGATTTTCGGCCCAGTAAATTGTGGCTGCTTGGTACAAGGGTAACAAGTACGCTGCGCTTTTCAGAAAAGATGTGATCAGCTTTTAAACAACAAAGAGGAGCTCTGCTGGGCAGAGTAATTCGATTTAAATCCACATGAAAGCCAGTGGTGAGTTTAAAATAAACAAAGCAACATTAAAAGCCACCGCCACGCCTAGAACCTCATGTCAACAATAAAACCGATAGGAGAGTTTAAGCCAGCCAAGGTGAAGGATAAAGAGATCGAATTCCTTGGAGGACATCAGACTAGATTTAGCTGAAATATCTCAGTGACCGTGCAGTGCATTTAGTCATTCCTTTTCCGGGTAAGAAGGAAGAATTCAATACCAAAAGGTCCTCTAATGTGCACCCAGGGGACATAGTGGGAAGGAGGACTCTTTTTTCCTCTAGAAGATCTATTTGGGCACTTGTGTGGCTTTGGGGCCAGGGCACACAAGGTATTTCTAACTGGGGCACCCCCTTTCTGGGTGTAGTGCCTTACCTCAGGTGTCCTAGGTACTCCTCATCTGTGTCTCAGCTAAACCCTCACCCTTTCTGAGCAGAGAAACTGAGCTCGCACCCCTGAGATCTCTGCTGGCGATGCTCCTGACCCCAACCCATCCTTGCAGTCTTGCCTTCTATTCATTAACGAGGGAGAGCTCTGAATCTCCAGTATTTGTGAACCCTGGGATCTCCATCCTGGAATGCACCCCTGACCACTGGTGGGCCCCGCAGGCCCTGGCCTAGGGACAGAGGGGTCCATGCACAGCCTCTCCTCCTACAATAGGGCAGAACTGGTGGAGCAGTTCTTTCTAAGCCCAGGAAGGTGTTATTGGTGTGTGTCTGGGTAAGATTTTGAGACTCTCATTTATGTCTTTTTCTTTTCTGCATTTTCCCCATCCCTTCCCCGTATTCACACAAGGCTCTGTGTTCATTGCCTCAAGGATGGTGTAGGTCAGAGTAAAAGGCGGATGTCAGCAAAATAATTGCCTTCTAGGTCTTTTCTTAAGAAGCCTAATTCTTAAAGGGAAAGATAGATAAAAAGTCTCTTGGAAAAACACAAGGGCAGAATCTCCCCTACCCCCAGCCACCAGCAACCAACCAACTAGAATTTATGCCCTCAGGCTGAGGAGCAGAAGAGGAAAGGGGCTGACGGAATCCAGCATTAGGAAGAGCCAGGGCCAGCTTCCTGGCTGTGCCTCTGTGAGGCAGTGAGGACTCAGGGAAGGCAGATGTGTCATGCAGATGGGATGCTGCCGTGTCTAAGGAAGATGCTCACATACCAAACTCAGTAATAGAGTGCTGTAAGTCATCAAGGGACCACTTGGAAACAGGCAGAAGAGGCGCACCTGCAGCGCATCAGGAATTATAGAACCAAGATCTTGTTACAGTGCCTCCTCCAATTTATAGGTGAGAAGCCTGAGGCAGAAACTTGTCGAGGCTCAAACAGGGAACAAGAAGCAGCATCAGGTTCTCCTGCTTTTTCCTCCAACTAGTATGACTCAATCAGGAAGGCACAGTGGAGTTCTTGTGGGGTGACCCTCCCTGACCTCAGGGATGTGACCATGTATCTGACCTCAGGGATATCCCATTAGGAAAAAAACAGATCAAGGTATATGGACAAGAGATGATGGACAAATGGCTATTCGAACTATCATTTTTTTCCCCCCTCTGGGCATTTATTTAGAGCCCTAGTAGGTACTGAGCCCTGAACAAAGGTCTAAAGCTAATGCCAAGAATTGGCTAGATCCTGTAGCTCTTGAGGTGAGGTGACTGTTGGCAGGGTTCTCCAAAGAAATGGAACTTATAGGGTACCTCCTCTGGGTGTCTGGACTCTGAGGAGAAAAGGACCTTAAACTAACTATATATAACTATATATCTATATCTATATATATGTGTGTGTGTGTATATATATATAAAATTATGCACACACTAAAGCGTATATGTATATATATAAATACATATCTATACACATATAGATTCTAAACACATATGTATGTGTGAATATATATATATAAAAGGAGATTTGTTCTGAGGAATTGACTCTTCTGATTACAGAAGCTGAAAAGTCCCCCAGTATTCCATCCATAAGCTGGAGACCCAGGCAAGTTGGTGGAGTAATTCAGTCCAAGACTGAGGGCCTGAGGACCAGGGGAGTCTGTATTATAAGTCCTAGTCCAAGTGCAAGCAATGATGAGAGGAGTTGTCCTGGCTCAAGTGGAGTGGGCGGGCGGGGGCAGGGAAAAGTGGGTGAATTCCTCCCTCCTCTGCCTTCTGTTCTCCTCAGGCCCTCAGTGCAGTGGACGGGGCCTGTTCACATTGCTTCATTCAACTACTGATCCCATCTGTAAATACTCTCACAAACACAAATGCACCCAGGTATTGGGGCACTCTGATCAAGCTAAGGGGACACATAATTATCACAATGACCACGGGGGCATTACAGGAGGAACCCTGGATTTAATGGGCAGCTTCTGATGAAATCATAGGCTCATATCAGGAATGTGTACTGGGGCTACTCTAGGGGCAGTAGGGCCAATAGGGCTGGGAGCTCTGCACAGGGGCGGCCATCTGATATCCATTTGTACTTCTAGGGTTGAGGGTGCCATTTACTGTGACTTAACTTGTAGAGTTTTCAGAGGTTGAGGTAACTTTCCTTCCATACCCAAGGGAAGACTGGTGCATGCTTCTCTGGGCTCCTGCTTCCACTGACCTCTCTGGCTTGACTTAGGGAACACTGCTAGAAGTGAGCCTTCTGTGTGGGTATAGGTGGCCCTGTGGAATTCATGTAGCCCTGTGGAATTCATGTGGCTCTGGGCCGGTATTTCTGATCATAATAGATGCCGCTGCTTCATGGCTGCTCCCCAGGAGCATCTGGTTTTCTGAAGCCCCGGAAATTACCATAGAGGATTGCTATGCTTTGGGAATTTTGAAATTGTAAAATACCATTCCTGGTATGCTCCTGACCTCCTGGAGGACACCAGGAGGGAGATACAGACCCAGCCGTGGGAAGAAAACTGGCTTTGGGACATGCCCAGCCAAGAATGCAGGCTTCTTTTCTCAGTTTCTTATAGATTTAATTGGAATCCTGGGACAGATTTTTAAACAGTCATGAAATTCCACATCAACTCTCAAGATTCGTGTCTGAAAGTATAAAGCCAGTGTGAACTTGGAAATTTAGAATGACAGTCGATGTTCAGGCCCTACCACAGCCTTGGGTTCCTGTTTGGACTTGGACATCCATGAGAACTGTTACAATGCTCTGACCTGGGAGAAAACCTGTGGGGTCTGATCACCACCCTGTGTCAACAGCCCAGGCCTCTGGCTCCATTGTGACATCAGGCTCTGACTGACTTGACGAGGAGGACTTGGTTGTGCAGGAGGGAACCCAGTGGGGACCAAGCTCAAGGCAGACCATGGTGGAGACAGCCCACCAGGTTTAGCGCAGGGCCCTGGCAGAAATCTCCTTTGTCCAGAACTAGAAGAGAAAGTGGAGTTTCCAGGCTAAGATCTGGATTCTCCAGAAGGGACTAACAGAGACAGACAGGGAAGAGGTTCATGAGCAGTTGAGAGCCAGGGCCTCTGGGAGCCAAGCAGGAGTGCACAGAAAACTGAGGGCTAGAAAATGAGGATGTTTTCCAAGACAACGTTCTGAGATGGGGCAATGTCCGGCTTTTCTGCACCCTGCTGTGGAAGATGTGGGCCTCTGGCATTATTCCAAGATAAAGGATGGGGGTGGGGCAGGCAGTGCTGACTCACGGCTGGGACTGGATTCCACAGTCCTTCTACTGGGTGGACAGAATCTCAGTGAGGCAGGCTTCTGTGGGTCTGTCTCTTCTTCCTTGTTCCCTGCATCCCCCAACCAGTTTGGGAGAGCCGTGATGGATTCTGGTGCCTGGTGCTGAGGGTCGTGAAGGGTTGCTCTCCGCAAGGCAGGTGTTGACTTCTTTTAGAACTTATAAAACTCTATCTGGGCCATCTTCAGCTGCTCCCTAGAGGGTGACATGCATTGTCGGGTGGCCCCTCCTAAGCTTTATTCCAATGGGAACTGTGAAGGACACAGTCCTACTTGGTTTGGAGACCATCAGTTCTTGAGGGTTTACTGCTTCAGTGAGGAAGCTCCTTTTCGTAGGTCCCCATTAGAAATGATGGAAGAGAAGAACACCACTCCTAGCTCCTGGACTTGGATTTTGGCTGGTCTGTTTCCTGGCCCAGTGAAGTTCTGGGACACTAGTGAACCCCTCTGAGATGGAGGGGATCATCTATTTAAAATGGAAAAGGGAGGTAGAGATTCTTTCTTTTAGCTCTTAGGATAACGTCCAAACTCCTTGTCACATCCTCCCTGTTCCTTCACGACCCGGTTTCTGCTCACCTCTAGACTTGGCCACTATTAGGGCAGCTCCTTCATTACCGTCTAGATGCCGGCACTGGCCTTCCTGGTTTTCAGGTGACCCAGCTTTGCCCTGGTCCTGTGGCACTTGCTATTCTTGCTCCTGGAAGCATACCTTCTCCTGCTTGGGCTTGTTTAGTCCTTCACCTCCTGGGGCTCTACCTGATAAATCTCCTGGGAGAGGCTCCCTGATCTCCTTTCTGTAAGAGTTGCCCCTTTCCCCTACTCAATAGATTTCTATCTCATTATTCTATTTTATTTTCTCACTACCATCTAAAACCATCTTATTTATTTACTTTTTTGTGTTCTTGTTTAGTTCTGATTTGACTTCTCTCTCTGTGTATAAGGAATGATAATGGGGGGCCTTGCTTGTTTTATTTGTTGCTGTATCTCTAGCAGTGCCTGGCATATAGTAGGTGCTCAGTAAATATTTGTTGCCTCTTTAAACAGAGGTGGTTAATAACTATCCTACCTGCTTTGCAGGCTGCCTGGGAGAATCAAATGAGGTGGTACCTGCTCTGAATGTTCTGTGGCACTGGCCCACGGATGGGGAGTTGTATCTCTCTGTCTGGAAGTCTCTTACCGTGCATCAGAACCCTGGGAACATGAGGTGATGGAGTAGTACAGCTCAGTGTGCTGGCAAAGCCAAGAAAGGGATGTGGAAGAGCATGGTGCTTGTCTTGGAGGTTGGCATATAAAAAAATTGCCATGGCTATTCACATTCTAGACCTATCTTGGAATCTCCGGAAATCCTAGGTTTGAGATATTGGCTGTGGTCACTAGAGAAGCTCTCTCCCTCCTATAGCAAAAGTTCTCAGTGTTCCTAGATTTCCTGAGGGTAGCTGGGTTAGAGGGAAGATTATTGCTTAAGTCTCAGAGACTCTGTGACCTTGAGCAAGAGTTTAACCAGTCTGGCCTTAGCTTCCTTTCTCCAAAGCATGGACTGAGAAACTTTAAAAACTACTAGAACTACCAGTAAAGGAATGCTGGGTGACCTTGGGCAGCCTGTCTTCTTGCAAACATGAATTCAACAAGCTTCTCCTACATTCTGTGTCCTATTGTGTAAAATGAGAAAGCCAGATAAACAGGTTGCAAACTTCTTTCTGCTTTAACTCTCTAGAATTCTGAGTGGAAGGAAGCTTGAGACATTATCTGTTACAGTTTCCATCCACAAACAGCCACTGGCTCAGCCCAGACAGATTTCAGGCTAGAAGCCATAAATCTGGTGGCTGAACCTGCTGGGAAATAAAAACAGTATCAAAACTCATATTTGCATACAGCAGTATCTGTTTGCATAGAGCGATCAAATGCATTTTCTTGCAATGGGAGGAGGCTTAATGGAGAAGAGGCACACCGCTGGAAGCCTCACACCTCCTACATCTCCCCATTTGCTGGGGCACTCTTGTCCATGGCTGGTGTGTTGAGATGGAGGTACTCTGACCCCTACGCTCACTCCATCCCTTAGGTCCTCAGCAAAAGTGAGGACCATATTGGCAGTGCAGTGGGGGCGGGGTGGGGTAGAAGAGCCCCAGATGTGGACTGCTCAGAGGTGATACCCATAAAAACTGGGCTGGCAAAACTCAGTGGAACAGCAGCGCTGAGGGAGAGGAGAGCTCTCTGCCAGACAGAATGAAGAAGTTCCTCATGGGATACTAAATATTTTCTTCCCTTGGTTATTTGTCACGGGGAGATCTCAGCAGGTCATTATCATGTTACCATTTAGCCATCAATTAACGCAAGTCTACCCCTTTGGGTCATTTCTCATAAATCACTCTCCCCATTCCCCTCATTATTTGGTTGTTTCTTTTAACAGCTTCTCCTGCAAGGTAATTTATGGAGAGCCATCATCCAAGGGCCAGCACCACTCTTGTTCTGAACCCAGGGAAAGCCTTTTGTGGAATTTTAAAGGGCCAGCAAAAGAAAAATCCCACAGGTGAGAAATACTTTGTTAAGATTTAACATTTCCAACTCAGGAGCATGTTCTTTCCCTCTCCAGCCCCATCCCACCCACATCAGGGGCAAGGACTCTGGGGTGAGAGTGGGTGAATCATTACATTGGGCATGGTTTGCATTTTCTCACTCCAATCTCATTGTGTTGTTTCCTCTTCATATTTATTACCACTTAAGGTTCATTTATATTCCCTCTCTGTCCACAGTGATCAGAGCAACACCTCCCAAATTAGCATCATTTGCAAGTTTCATTAACATGCTGTTTACTCTCTCTCTCTCAGAACATTAATAAAGATGACCCCCGTGCACCCTACCTCCCCCACCTCAATATATTTTCATTTGTCATCACCCTTTGTTTGCAGACTTTGAGCTAGTTTTAAATTTATGTGGCAGCACTCCTTACTAAGCCAATTTGAATTAATTTTGAGTGTAACACTTTATACCACTATATCAAATGCTTTTCTTATAGCAGCATGCATTCCATCAATAGAATTCCTGCCACCTTTCTACTTGGTATTCAGGTTGAAGGCTTTCAATTCTGTCTGGTATTTTAGTTCTTTAAAAGTCACTGTATCCTCTGTACCAACCACGGACTTTCTCCTAATTTTTCGGTTATTTTGAAATGATTGATGCTATGAAAGAAAAGATTCGGAGAGCTACTTAGGGCAATCGATAGCTTTCATCTTTCTTTCCCATATCTGCTCTTGTAGTTGAGCAAGTAATTTTTGTGAAATCCCTTCCCATTCCAGGATGCACAAGATCTGGGCCTTCCTGGGAAGGCCCAAATATTCCTTGCTCTATTTTGAAACTGAGTATCTATTTTGTAACCTGCCCATTGCTTTGGAAGATATTCTCAGTACTTGGCATATGGTGGGGTTCTCAAGAAAAAACAATTTGCCAGTTAATATTTATTTGCCAGTAATATTCATAATACGATGAATTGATCTCCCAATCATTTATGTTTTTCCCCTAACCTGCACCAGCCTTTCCTATTGTGAGGTAGTGAGCAGTTGCAACAACAATAGCAACAAAAAACCAACAAACAAAAGGCTACCAGAGAATGAGAGGTGTACTCTTGTCATTCATTCATTTACTCGTTTATGGTTATTTATGCTTATTTATATTGCATATACTCATTTATGTTTATTTAGACTTTACCTTCACTACACTGTTTTAGGCTCTGAAGATACTGTGCTGAACAGTTCTCTTACACAGTTTTGAAATCTAGACCATGAGCACACCTACAGATATATAATGTACCATCAGATTGTGATAGTTCATGAAGAAAAAAAAAAGAGGAATAAATACAGATAGTGAGAGAGGTTTTATAGCATTCTGAGGTTTTTTATTTGTTTTCTTTTTGGCTGGTTAGCCTTTTAAGCTTTAAATCTGATATCCGGGAAGGTGTACAATTTCCAGAAGCTCAGTGGGTAGAATAATTACCAACACAGCACTCTCATTACAAAAGATGGTTAGTCAGGCCCTATTGGAGACCCATCTTGGGTCCGTGTGTGTGTGTGTGTGTGTGTGTGTGTGTGTGCGTGTGCGCGTGCGCACACGTGTGGATGAATCCACACTGGGCGAGTCTGAACTAGCTTCTGGGATCCTCCCAGTTCACCTGTCTTTGGGAAGACCTGAGGGGTGTTATCTTTCTGAATTTTATGAAGATGAGCAAGGAATTGGTGGAGAACAGTGACCTCACCCTGTGGACTGTATGAGGCACATGGTCTGAAAGCACCAACACTGGATTACAGATAATATGCAGACCAGGAGGGGAAATCTCAGAGGAGGCTACAGTGAGTCAGGCTGAGGACAGAAGTCCTGACTCAGAGAAGGAGGGCTACAAGGACCTTAGCTGGGACTATGCCTTGGGGGGCCACTACTGGCTCTGCTCTGGATCCCTACCAAAAGGGATCATCATCTTTAAGTGAGGTCATGTGTGTGGCAAGTTTCATGATGGCTTTTTATTGTTTTTTGAGTTACTTTTCCTCCTTTTTAATTTCCTTTTCTCTAATACTTCTTTTGGAAAAATAATTGTTCAATATGCCAAAATAAATATCTTTTTGGAGATGGCACCTCCAGGATGAAGTTCAAATGCTTAGCTCAGCTCCCCAGACTAGAACCTTCCCAGTTGCCAAGCCTCTAGACTGTCCCTGGAACCCACCCCTTGCATAGATGCCAAGAGGAACCACATTGCCTATATTTCTCTCCTGCACTAGATTCTGTCCTTGTCTTTGTGTTCCATCTGAGTATAATGTCCTTTGTCCTTTATTTTCATCTGCAGACTCCCCTAGATTTATCTGACGTGCTTCTTCTTCTAAGACTCAGCCTTCAGCACCCTGGACATCTCTTGACTGTCATTCTAACACATGACCAGTGGGTTTCCCAGCATGACAGGGAGGGACCACGTCTCATTCACTTGTGCATCTGTGTCACCAGACCAAGGCATGGAGCAGGCTTTCAGGAAAAGCTTTATTAAACTAAACTGAAGTGAAAATAAAGAAAGTGGAGGGCTATTAATTTCAATTTGTTCTCGAGAGGACTGAGGTTAGGGATTGTAGGGGGCATGACTGCGGCTGTCTAAGGAGAGCTGTGGAGGGGCTGGTACTGGAGGTCAGGGCAGTGGGCACCTCATCCACCTGACCTGGAAAGTTTCCCAGTTGCTTTCTAAGCACTATGCACTCAGCTCAGCCATCTCTCAGCTCCCAGGCAGCACATTTTATTCAAGATATTTCTGACTTGCAACTAAAAGACCCCCCCCACAGTTATCAGATGGCCTATTTTTGTTGGTGGAGTTTATTCTGTTTGTGAAAGTTCTTATTCATTTTCAAGTTAAATAAGATCTGACTTTTATCCCCAAAGGAACTTAGATTTCAAACCCCTGATTTGAGCAGGATTTTAGTTTGAGTTTAGGTTTGACTCATCTCTTTGATTAAAGGCTTATCTTCTTCTAAATAACATGTCTTAATAGTTACTCTTTCCCTTTCCAGACCTTCTAAATTTAGATAAATGAGACCAATTATCACTTCCAGAATGTTCAGTTTCTACTCTGGTCCTAGAATTTGGTCTTTAAAAGATGTTGATTTTCTTCCTGTGGCATCATTTCAATTGTGTATTTTCCCTCACTGGAAGAGGGGTTGGTTGTGGGTGGGGCCTGTTGGTTGCTTTTCATCAAGAGCCACAAGTACGGGTGTTCAGCCTTCTGGGACCCTGGATGTGACCCACAGAGACCTCGCTGGCTAAAGGCACAGGGATGTCTTATGCAAAGCAGCTGGTGCATGAAGAAGCTCATGAGAGCATTGTGTCTCTGGACACCCAGGTAAGGGCTTTAGAGGAATCTTTGAAAATATGCTGTGGTGACATGAAACCTGCAAGGAAAGCAGATTCCCCCCCCCCAATTCCTTTTTTTCTTTGCCACTTCTAGAGATGATTTTGAAACTTGAATGAGAGAATCAAAGGATTCATATATGATTTCAATATATGTTTATTAAGTACCTTTTGTGGGCAAGGGTTTGAGGGGCTACACTGTGCACATGGGGTGAGCAGGAGGATATGACCCTGCAGTTATGGGGGCCAGGGAGGTTTGTTGCTGGGAGAAAGGGGCAGGGGAATTGTGCTTTGCAGGACCTCAGAACTTGGGGGAACAGTGCAGGAACAGCTGGTGATATTGTAAGACCCAGAAATGGGAGGAACCAGAAGACTTCCTTCCTCAGATGCCCACCTGCCTGCCTCTCTTCACTGAGTTTCCCAGCCCTGTCCAAAAACCCTAGCTACACCCCCCTGACAAGACATGAGTCTGTGACTCTGGATTCGAGGGCCTCAGCAGATAGAATCTACTTTGGGCAGGTCACAGTCAGAGTCGTATATAGGCCCCCAGTCCAAGTGTTGTTGAGTCTGAGAATGTTCAGATCCACTGCTGAATGATCCAGGCTTGATCCCTGGACTCGAGGCTCACAGCACTAGGGTAAACAGATTTAGAAGAGGAATGATCATTTATCCAATTAAAATAGAGTCATCAGGGTGGCCAGCGGGCCATAACATAAGGTGATTAGGATACACATGGAGGAGCTGTGCTCAGGGAGGAGCCGATCCTTGCTTTAGAGGATTTCTGGATGTGCTCAACTTGTCTGTGAGGTGTGTGTGTGTGTGTGTGTGTGTGTGTGTGTGTGTGTGTGTGTGTATGGGCCCTTTTCCCCCCCTGAAAAGCAGGTTTGTGATTTCCATCAGATTTATAGCAGGGTGCAGAGTCTGGAGTCAGGGGATGCATCCCCTGACTTCTCTCTTTATCAGCTGAAGTGGGGGGAGTCATTTGGGCTCTATCTTCATCTACCAGAGGGTAAAATAACAACCACATTCCTGCCCAGAAAATGCACATGATGTTACAAAGTTAAGATGAGAAGTCATGTGGTTTGCAAGCTATATGCCACTGAATGGATGCCTTTACTTCCCCTACTTCCTTTACCCTCACCCCTACCTAGCCAGCTTGCAGGGTTGCGAGCCACACAACCTAGATAGATTCCCCCCCCCCACTTTCTGTATTGGGGATTGAATCCAGGGATGCTCTGCTACTGAGCTCTATCTCCTATTTTGAGATAGGGTGTCATGAGGTTGCTAATATTGGCTTTGAACTTGTGATCCTTCTGCCTCAGTAGCTGGGATTAGCTTTTAATTGTCCTTGAACATCTAGTTCCAGAAACACTTCCCGGGCTGCCAGCCTGCTCTCTCTGGGTAAGCTGCCCCTCCTCAGTGCTTCATTCATTGTCTTCTCTTAGCTGACCTCTAATCCCAGACACTCCTCCCCACCACCAACCATCCGCTTCCTGACCCAGCCCTTCTACCCCAGACTGCACAATCCCTGAGGACAGGGATGGTGAACCGGTTGTTTTCTCTGGCTTGTCACAGTGTCGTTTTAATATGATTTTATTCCATCGATAAAATGCTAATTTATTTTTAAATTGTGCTTTAATGAGCTGGCTCCTGATC